AAATAAAAAAAAAAAAAAAAAAAAAAGTAAAGACATAATCAAATTTTTTTTTTGAGATTTTTTTTTTTTATATTCATTCATATATATGAATTGCCAATTTAAAATTTTTTTTTAATTATTAAGTTATGAATGATTCAAATAATTTGTTTGTGAATAAAAATTATATATATAATAAACAAATTATGTCTTCTGAAAATAATTATTTTTATAATATGAATTTAAGTATTCATAAAATTTTTAATTCTCGTTACAGTGTTCCATCAAAAATTAATGATGACGAGAAACCAATAATTAAAAAAAGAAGATGCACTTTATCATACATGTACGAAAAAGATTTACCTCATAAAAATAGCCATGATTACTTAAATTACAACTTTAATAACTCTATCACGAAAAGAAAAAAGTATTCACCCAATCTTTTACTATATAGTAAATTTTCTCCCTTAAAAATCAGAAGAGAACTTAGAAATAGTGTTGATGAAAGTATAAAAAAAAGTGTTGCATTAAGATCTTTTGTAAACAAGAATATTAAAAATAAAAATAATAAAAATTATGAACATAATGATAAAAATTATTTAGATAAAAGTAAAGCATACTATCTCAATAAATATCATGAAGGAAATGGTTCAAATTATCTTAATGATTTAAATAATTTAAAACTTCATTTGAATAAAAATTTAAATGAAACATATATAATGAGTAATACAACACAAAGTGATAATTATTTTAGAAATAAAAACAGAAATAGAGATAGTTTAAATACCCATAGAGATACTGCTCCTATTTACGTGAATTCTGAATCCACTATTTCTAGTTTTAACTTTGAACGTGAAAATGAAAATAAGATTCCTAAAATAAATATTGATAAAAGTGCGTTTGCTGGATCATATCCAAATATGCTCAAAGAAAAATATTCATATATATCAAATATTTATGAACAAAATAGAAAGGAAAATTCTAAAACAGAAGAAAATATTGAAAATATTGAAAAAATCATAGAATGCCCTTTAAAAAGAAGACACAGTACTGAATTTGCAAAAGAGTATGAAAAATATAATTACTCAGATTCTCATTATTTAAATAAAAGATTTAAGGATAATGATAAAATTTATAAAAATAAAATTCGTAGACATAGCGATACAACTAAGTACAACTCATGGAATGAACTTTATTTGAGTGATATTAGACATGATGCTAATAGAAATATTTTTGATTCTTCATTGTTACATGAGTGTAATAAGAACAACTTAGAAAAATCAAAAGATGAAAAACTTCTGAATAAAAAGTGTGAAGAAAATGATTCAGATAATCCTTTATTTCATACTTCTTTTTTTAAAAATACAGAAGAGTTTGACAATAATAATATAAAGCGTAAGGAAAAAATAGAACCTTTAGATTCTAATGATGAAGATGATTTTGTTCTTAAAAATGATGCGGAGTACGTTTTTAGTAAAAGATTTTTTAAAGATATTTACTCTAATATACGAAGAAAGGGTGAATTAAACTTTATTGATGAATTGTTAAAAGCAGATGAAGAATTTTATATTAGTACAAGCAAATTAAATAAAATAATTGAAAATGCGAAAAATAAAGAAATGAAATATCATTATATTGATAGAATGTTTTTATATAGGCATGCAAAAAATGTTATAGATGATTCTGATTATGAGAAGTATAAAAGTAAGTGTAGATCAGAATTTAAGTATCTCGATGTTCCATTTCCGAACTTAAGTGAAATTATGAATCTTCAACCTATAAGTAACTTAGATGAAATAGATGATACTGATGAGTTTTATGATGCTGAAGTGAAACTTCTTGAAAAATATTACTATAAATGTAATAAAGAAAAACAAGAAAATACCATTTTTGTAGATGAAAAAAACATTGCTGATACTAGTATCGTCTTAAAAAAAAGAAAATTGTCTATCACAGATAATGAATCGACAGAAGGTATATCCACCTTAGAAAAGAGAGACAAGTTAATATGCTTAATGAATAAAATGAAAAGAGAAAAAGATTCTTTCTTTGAAAATATTTTAGATGCTCCGGATTTCTCGAAATTACTTGAACCAGTATTTTCATTAAATGAAAGTTTTTTACTATCACATCAGTTGTTTAATGTACAATATGCTGCTCAACTAGGCCCTGTCGTTTATCTTATAAAAACTGAAGATGAAAATTACATATATAGGGCTATTGAAGTTAGTAGATTATTTGAAGAAAAAGTAAAATCAATTCTTGATAATCAAAAAATTAGTTCAGGTATTAAGGAAAGAAATGAATCTTATGAATGTTTTTCTAATGATAAATATCCATTTTTGCATGAATTAGATGTAAAATATTATCTTCGTATTCCTATGAGCACAGGATGGAATCATTTTGGATATTTAAAAAACCAAAATAATGTTCTTTTTTTTAGAAGACCTAAAAATCTTTAAAGAACAACGCAAAATATATATATATAGGCATATATATATTTTACTATTTGTTCAATACTTATTTAAAATAAATAATTTTATAATTGTAATTATTCAAATGTTAAAAATTAATTTATATATATATATATATATGAGTATGTATATTATTTATGTTTCACTTAACATTTATTTATTATTATAACAGAAGAAACATAAATTATAAATTTTTAATTGTGTTTTTCTTTTTTTTTTTTTTTTTATTAATATTAATTTATATATTTATATTCTTCTTCTTTTTTTTTTTTTTATTCATAAAAAATATACTTTCGTATATAGTTTAAAGTTTCACTTTTTTTTTTTTTTTTTTTTTTTTTAAATATATGAAAAAATAAAAAAAAATAAAAAAACATACATATATGTATATATATATATATATATATTTATAAGAATTTGTATTATATTATTGATAAATTTTTTAAATTGATTGCATAATTCATTTATAAAGAATACATATACGTATATTAAATATAAAGTTACAAACTGGCAATTTATTTGTATAATTTACTTATAATTATCCCAATTTTTTTAATTCTTATGTAGAAAAATTAAGAAACATTTTTTTTTATATACCATTTTGTTATTGTTGTATACATTTTATTTATTAAACAATAAGTAAAAAACGAAATTTAATATAGAAAAACACTAGAATATGTTTCAAATTGATAACTAAAATTTTTTAATGTTTCTAATATTTGCATCTTATTATTACTTATAGAGGCAATTTCTAAATTGGCAAAATTTGCAAAAAAAAAAAAAAAAATGTGCAAAAATATAAGTTTTATGAAATAAACATTTAGATATTTATATGAAGGTAATGATACAATTATATTATGTTTAAATTTTAAATTTATATAATAATCTCGAGGAATAATATTTAGTACTTTTTTATTGTGGTATTCCTATAAAAATTAAAATATTTTATTGAACATTTATAATATTTTTATTTTTTTTAAAATGTTAATTAAAATTAATAATAAAAATGTGTATTAGTTTGAAAAAAAAAATTAAGCCAAAAGAATATTATTTTAAAATAATATTTTACTTCATTTTTTATCAAAAAAAACAATTATATACAAAAATAAACTAAAACAATTAACGAAAAATAAAACATTTAAGATTTTAATAAAAAAAAAAAAAAAAAGAAAAAAAAAAAGGTAGACAATAGTAATAAATTAAAAAGGAAATTTTTCTTTAATTATTTCTTAAATTATTATATTAATTCCATATCTTTTTAAAAATTTTAAGAATATATAAAAAAAAAAAAAAAAAAGGAAAATTAAGAAATAAGAGTTATGAATGTTTTATTAGGTACATTTTTTAATTAAGGCAATGATATATTATACATAATTTTTTCCCATCATTGTAGACGAAAAAATGAATTATTAATATGAACTACTTGTTGATTATGTTTTTTTGTAATTATTTAAAAATACAATTTTATTGTTTCTATTTTTGTTATTCCTATTTAATTTGTAGTAATTACTTTTACTATTTATATTTTGATCAAAATTATTTTTATTGTAGCCATTATTATTGTTAGTTTTATCATATTCATGAGAATCATAATAATTCATGTTTTTATTATTATTTGAATGTAAGTTTTTTTGGGAACAAACAAAGAATTCATCATTTGATATAGAGTTATTTACATATGATTTGTTATCAAAAAAAAAATCATTATTTCTGTTTGTTAAATTGTCTTTATTACAGTTATCATGTGAATTATATATTATTTTATTATTATATGTATAATAATTATTAACAACATTTTTATTATAATTATTATTATCTTCTTCATTATATGTATCATCATTATTAATTTGATTATAATAATCATTATATTCTCTTTTTATATTAGAGGTAACATTAATATCTTCTTTTTTTGAAATATTACCATCTTTATTCTTTATAAAATTCTTTATATTAACACTAGAATAAAAATTATCGCTGTATATTCTGTTATTATTTTTTTTAATAATTTTTTTCGAATTATTTTTATGAAAATTTATATTATTATTAATTTTTTCATACGATAAATAATTTTTATTATTATTCTTTGTTTCTTGAAAGTTTAATTGACTATATGTTATATTACTTATCTCTGTATTATCCTTTTTCTTTACGTTATCATTTTTTAACACTTTTTTTATACCATCTTCTTTACCTTGATGACTAAATTTATCTAATTGATCAGTTTCTTTATTTAATAAATATTCTTCATTTACTGAATTAGAAACAAAATTTTTTTTTTTGTTCTTTGAACTTTTATCATTATTTGAAATATGCATAGAAGCGTCTTTATCTAAATTATTTTTTTTTTCATCCTTTTCACTTAATTCATTTTTATCTTTTTTATTAGTATAAACATCAAAATATACTTCTTTTTTAAGAATATAATCATTTGATTCCTCTTTTTTTTTTCTTTTTTTGACTTCTTTTTCTTTTTTTGTAAACATGCTTTTTTCATCCTTTTTTTTATTATTTTTATACTCTTCATTTTCTTGGTCTTTTTTTTTAAAATTAATTTGATTTTTCTCTATTGTTTTTTCATTTTTTATTAAATCATTTAGTAATTCATTTTTCTGTTTTTCCTTAATTTCATTTATTTCTTTTTCATTTTTATCAATATATTTTCCCTTTTTCTCCGAATCGCTTTTGAGATTTTCATTAGTATTATATTTCACCAGCATTAAATTAGTTTTGTCCTTTTTTATTATACTATCTCTTTCATTATATATTTTGTAAATTTCATCATCTATTTTTTCTTTTTCTTCACTATTATTTCCAAAGAGTAATTCATTTTCTGAATTTTTGTTATATATAATATTGCCATTTGTATACTTTTTATTTACTGTTTGCTTCTGCTCACTTGATGAAAAGTTAAAATTTATATTTTTTTGTTCGGAATTATTTTCATTATAATAAGACATATTATAATTACTCATATGGTTAAAATTATTATTTTTATTATACATTTGTTTATAATGGTAATTATTGTAATAATTTAAGTAATTATTCACATATAAATTTTTTCTTTTCTTTTTTTTATTGTTATTATTATTACAAAAACTTGTAATTTTTCCATCATTTAAATTACAACTACTCTCATTATACTTATTTTTCCTGCTATTACATAAATATTTTCTATTGTTATTACTTTCATTGTTACTCATTGAACTCATGTTAAAATAATTGCTATTCATATTTGTATTTTTATTTTTAAAAGTATCATTATAATTATTCTTTAAGTTACAATAATTATTATTATTATTATTATTATTATTATAGTTCCTATTAGATGTTATCTGATTTATATTGAAATTTGAAGCATTAATAATATTACCATTGACATAATTTATGTAATTATTGTTCCAATTGGCGTTTACATTTGGGCATATATTATCAATGTTGTCATACTGATTATAATAATTATTACTCTTCCATTTATATAAATCATTATTGTTATTAATAGGATAATTTGATTTTTGGGCTTTATTCTTATTAGTGTCATTATAATGAATATTTACATTCATAAAATCCCGATTATCTTGATCAACCATATAAAAATTATTATTAGGATAATTTCTACTAAAATAAGACATATTTTTGCATAAATTTTTATCATTACCATTGTGAATTATATTTTTCTCATAATTGTTGCCGTATTTTTTGTACAATACACTGCTTTCATTATATAAATAATTTCGTGTTTCTAATTTCAAATTATCGTTATCTGATATATTATTTATATTATGTTTGTTATCGTTATTCTCCGTTCCATTATCTAATGATTTATTATAATTATCATTATAGTCACAATTTTTGTAATTGTTATGTTTGCATTTATTCTTATTTATATTGTCAATAAAACAACTATAGCTATTACAGTTATCAACATTAATTAGACACTTATTTGCTTTCAATATATTCGAATCATCTCTTATTTTATAATACAATTTATCGAAAGTGGCATTAGATTGCTTTTGTGCACATAAGTTAATTTTTCTATTGAAAATATTTGTAGGATAAAATGTTTCCTTAAATATGCAAAGAAAAGTGTTCTTTGCTTTCATACTATAGTCACTATCAGCATAATGTGTTGAATCATTATCATGAGAATTATAACAAAACATATTAATATCATCAATTATCTTCTTTAATTTTGCATTCTTATTTAAATAAAAAGTGCTATCATTACATGATAAAATATTATCATTGTTTTTCTCATAATTACAATTTTTTTCTAATATATTTTCCTTGTTACTTAATATATATATATTCTCTTCATTATCGCTGCTTTCATTAATATATGAATTTTTCTTAATTTTATTCTCATTAATTAAGTATGTGTGGGTGCTTTTATCACAATAATACTTGTTTTTCGTATTTACGTAAAGAGATTTATTTGAATTATCAGCATAATAATCTGGTAAATCTTCTTCATAGTTAATTAATATTTTTTTTAGTATTTTTCGAAAACCTTCTATATTAATGGACTGTTCGAACTTCATCATATGTGGTTTAATCATGGATATTTCAAGATTTTTAAAATTTTTTTTTTTATAATGCATATTTTCTGATCTACATCTAAAACGGTTTTGTATTAATTTTTGATCATTATTTTTTTCTTTTTTATCATCAAGAAGTATAAAATTTCTCGATTCTCTATTGTCTATTAGATATTTATCCTTTTCATGAAAATTAATTTTAAGTGCTTTTATATTTTTGTTCCTTTCTTCATTATATAGATTAGACTCACTTTTGAAGTTCTCATTTGAACTTACGTTTTTACTGTATTTAGTTTTAGAACAATTAGGTGTTAACATTGGAGAATATTTATCATAATTATAATTTCCTTTATGACAAACTAACTCCTCTTTATAACTGTTAATTGTGCTGTTTGAAATATATGTTATATTTTTGTTATTATTATCAGAACTTTTTACTAATTCACAATGAATAGTCTCTTTTTTTAGGTCAGGTATTAATTTATTTGTTGAACTTGTAGAGACAGGAACTTGAATATCTGCATTATTTATATCATACATATGGCATAAAAAAGTTTCATTATTTTGTTTGTTTGCATTGTTTTCATTGCATTCTAAGTTGTTACCTATTTCCCTTTTATTTTTAAATGAATTAATTTTAAGATTTTCAATTTCTTGTTTATTTTTTACCTGATATTTAATGTCCATCTTATTAGAATAGGAAACTTCATCATTATTTCTATATGCATATTTTTTATTTGCATTAAGATTGTAAGAATCATTAAAAAAATTATTTGTTCCATAATATGAATTGTTTCTCGTATGATTTTCGCTTAAATTATTACTATTATCAAAATTATTATCTTTCATAAAAGTGTTTTCTATATCACAAGTACTGTTATAATCCTTTGATATATTTTTTTTTATATTTGCTTTTTCATTGTAATTTTTAAAATTACCATAAAGTTTTATACTTTCATAATTTTTTAAATTTTCACAATGTAAATTTTTATCATACTGTATATTATCATTATAATTTTTCGTATTGCAATTTTTTATTTTATCACTATTTAATGTAACTTCATAGTTTTCTACATTAACATCACTCTTTTTATTACAATTGTTTTTTGTTTTTTCCATATTTTTTATTTCTTTTATATTGTACTTTCTTCTTTGTTCTTCAATTTCATTTAAATTATCGTTTGCATTTTGTTTAATTCTATAATCCCTATATTTATTGCTATCTTTGAAATCATCATTCATATTATTATGAGTAAAAATATTTTTTTTGGAATATTTGTAATTTGAGTTTTGCAGATTATTATAATATCCATTAAACATTTCTTTCTTAGTATTATTGTTTTTTTCATATGTGTATAATAAATAATTTCCATAAAGTTGCTTATTTTCTTCATTAGTATGAACAAAATTTTGATAATTAGTTATAAAGTTTATATTTTTGTATGTATTTATATTATTAAACTTTTCGTCTTTCATATTACTATAATTATTATTATTCCTAATAAATTTACGATTATTAATTTTAGAGTAGTTATCTATTTTTTTATTATGAGTATCATTATTTTTATCACCATTTTTATTACTATCTAACTGTTCACTAAAATTTTCTTTAGTGACATTTCTATTTTCATTATCAACGCTTCTTTCTATATTTTTTCTATTGCTTTTGTATATGAAAGTGTGAACGTATCTTTTATTTATATAATTATCATTTTTTTTTATTTCCTTATTATTAGTATTTTTATCATTATTACTAGGATTACACATATCATGATTATTTGTAATATCACATTCATTATTATTATTATTATTATTATAATTCTTATTATTTTCATTGTTATTCTTATTGTCATTATTATTACTATTATTATTTGTAGTATTATTATTATTATTATTATTCTTATTATTTTCATTGCCATTATTATTATTATTATTAGTAGTAGTAGTAGTAGTAGTATTCTTATTACTATTTTCTTTGTTATTCACATTGTAATTATTATTACTATTATTATTAGTAGTAGTATTATTATTATTATTAGTAGTAGTAGTAGTAGTAATAATAGTAGCAGTAGTATTATTATTATTTTCATTGTTATTCTTATTGTCGTTATTAATAGCATTATTATTATTATTATTAATATTATTTGTAGTAGAAGTATTATTATTATTATTTTCATTGTTATTCTTATTGTCATTATTATTAGTATTACTATTATTAGTATTATTATTATTATTATTAATATTATTTGTAGTAGAAGTATTATTATTATTATTTTCATTGTTATTCTTATTGTCATTATTATTAGTATTACTATTATTAGTATTACTATTATTAGTATTATTATTATTATTATTATTCTTATTCTTATTCTTCTTCTTATTATTATTATTCTTATTATTTTCATTGTAATTCTTATTGTCATTATTATTATTTCTATTATTATTATTATTATTATTATTATTATTATTATTATTATTATTAGTGGTAGTAGTAGTAGTAGTATTATTATTTTCATTGTTATTTTTATTGCCATTATTATTAGTATTACTATTACTATTATTATTAGTATTATTATTATTATTCTTATCATTATTACTATTATTATTATTATTATTAGTAGTAGTAGTAGTAGTAGTGTCACTGTTACTATTATCAACCCCAACATAAGTAACATGATTATTATCTTCATTATTAATATTACTATTATTGTCATTGTTACTAGTGTTTTTATTATTTGTGCTTGCGTTACGTACTATATTTTTTTTTTTTCCGTGATAAATATTTTCATTTTTAATTTTATTATCATATAAGTTTATATTAACATAATTGTTATAATTATGATGATAGTTACTGACATCATAATTATTTTTATAATGGAAATTATTATTTTCCCTATGATTATTGTTATTATAGCTGTAGTAACTAAGGTTAAAATAATTAGAGTTTCTATCATTCATTGAATTGTTAAAATAGTTTGGATTATTTTTATAGTTGTTATAATTGCGAAAGCGGTTTTTCTTCTTATGTTTTGTTGGAAAAATGTCTTGATTGTCATTTGACAACATATCATCCTGTAAATAACTATAACTTTTGTTATGTTTTGATGTTATTGATTTCACAGATAATTTTTTATTGTTTCTACTAATTGTTTTTTTTAAATTTTGATCTTCGTTATCATTTCTGTTTACACTATTATTTGTTATTATTTCATTGTTGATATGCTCTTTAACATTGTGTATTTCACTAATCATTGTATTACTTCGAATTTTTTTTGATGATTCAATATGTTCTTTTGAATTAAAATCCTTTTCAACTGTTTTTAATGCAATATAATTGCTAGAACCATTATAATTATTATTTTTATTATTTTTTCTATTGCATTTTGTATAATCCCCATTATAGCAATTATTATTTTTGAAATTGTTAGCTTTCCCTACATTCTCATGATTATTTTCATTATGATACATTTTATAATATTTATCATTGACGTTATGATTATTATCGATTTTATTTTGATTGTAAGTTCTATGACTTGTAAAATTATATGAATAATTATTGTAGTTTGAATTATCAATTAGATTAGTTTCATTTCCCCTTAGTAAGGATTTACAGTTATTATTAATACTTTTATGATTATCTGCTTCCTTTATATTTATGCAATTGTCTGCATTTTGAATATTACTTTTGATATATGATTCTTCTTTATTTTTAATATGCTTAATTTCTTTTGGTTTAACAGTATCCATAATTTTTAATTTGATTTTAAAAACATACAAAGTGTAAAAATAGAATAGTTATATACAAATAAAACAAATTTACAACACATATTACCTTTGTAAATTTTTTTATGAAAATATATAAGTTTTAAATGTAGATGGAAAATATAAGTAAATAACAATTTTAAGTAGAATTTTTTTTTTTTTTTTTT